AAACATAAAAATGTATCTCGCCACAAATCTGCATAATCCTATAAATGTCATTTGCAGCATGTGATGTGCAGCACTCCATATATTGAATAGGGAATTGTGAGTTTTTTAGTACAAAACATAGTGTAATGAATGTGGTTTAACCCAAGGCAGCCACAGCTTCATAGATTGGGGGCTATGAATGAAGTTGTCTCTCTAGTCCAGCCAGACTGTTGGCTGCAACAATAGTACATCTCTTTTTTAAACCCAGTTCCCTAATATAAAAAGTTGTAAAAGTATTTAAGTATTTTGTTGTCTGATATATCGAGAGACTGTATTGAGGTAGAGAGGCTACCCAAGGAGTACTTTAATCTGTTTACAGCCTCTGAGTAAATGTCACTCATGCACAAAAGCACTTCAAAAACTACACTTACCTACAAACTGGAATGTATTGTTCTGAGGTGTTTGTTAAAGCTTGGATGTTTAAGGCAAAGTTTGTTTTTTATGCAAGCCATAGTGAGTGCTGCTTTAGAGTATTCTGATACAGTTTATTGTACTACCCACATGCTCCTCAGTTGCACATATTTATTACAACTTGGGTTCCTTAGTGTGGTTTTGTCCATTATCATGCACTATACTTAGCCAATACAGTGTAGAACTAAATGGCTGAGGGCTGGGAACACAGTGATATCATTTCAAATAAGTCCAGGTAATAAACAAACATGAGCAGTTAGATGATCAGGCATGCCGGTGAGACAACTTCATCTAGTTTATTTTCATCAGTCTTCATTTATTCATCCATCAACTGCTTCATCCTTAACCTGCTTTACTTACTGTAACTGTGAACTCACAGCTTCTCTGGGCAATGGCGGATTATTAGAGAGAGGTACACTCACATTAGGTGGTTTAGTTAGATTTGAATAATACCTTGGTTTGTGTTGACATATTGCCTGACCTCTCCATAGTGATGTCACCTGGTTTCTACATCTCAGCTTTAACTTGGTGAGTAAACAGATATTATTATTGACTAATCAAAGTAGAAAAATTAAATGTAAAACCATTATTTCAGCTTTGTCCTTAAGTTTTGCAAATTGCTCCATGTGTATGTTAAATGAAATTACAACACAGAAGTCTATGGTCAGGCATTGAGTATTGAATCATAGTAAAAGCGGGTTAACAGAGTCCCAGCAGTGTATTTCTGTGTCAGATGTCCTCAGATGAATCATAGTATAGTTTTGTGGTTTTTGTTTAAAGGGTGAAAGGATGATTTCTAATGATCTGAGGTCTGTGCAGCACAAGTAGCGATGAAAATCTCGTTAATGTGTTTCTAAGGGAATGCCATTTTAACATTTAAAGTTTTCCTGTAACAGTATGTTTTTAATATTTAAGGCCATTGTCTGGATATCTACTGTAGAATATAATGTTTTGATTCAGTTTCTTTTCAAACTTAATATTTGAATTCAATGCTATTTATTTTAGAGTTTGCAAACAGCATTTAAAAATAAATCTATTTACTATTATTTTTAACATTTTAATCTTTAGTGAATCCACTCTCCAACATCAAATGATATATCCTCCAGGGTTTTCTGTAGGTTTTCAAAGTGACAGGGGGTGGTGGTGGCACTGAGGTTTGAAATGATAACAGAGAGATTTGATTATCACTCAAATTCCAAACAGGATTATAATTCATCCAGCAAAATCACTGTTTACACTTGGTGTTACTGAAAACAAATGTAAAATGTTAGTAAAATAAATAATATTCCAGAGTGAAGTTTAGAGACAATGAAGAACACACATGAGTCAGTGATTCACTCTTTGATGATTTTCCTAAGTTTTACTGAGTTGTACCTTAACTTCACTTGGTTCACTGCATGTACATCGCCCTCCCTGCTCTGGTTTCTATTTGTCTGTGTCTACAGTAGGAGATGAGCCCTGTCTATATTTAAACAACCAGAGCAGAGGACAAAGGATCCAGTGTGACCATTTATGATAGAGAACTCTCAACATGCTTTTTTTTTTTCAAATATGTTAGTTGCTGTGGAGAAACACTTTGGCAGTTGCTCAAGTGTTATTATTGAAGGCAAAACCCTCTCATCTTTATCTTTATAAATACTCTTATCCAATTTATATATTTGTGTAACTCAAAAAGTCAACCCATACAATGCTAGAGGATAGGACAGTTTCAGAACTGTCTGGCTTGTGCCATTAATACTTTTAAACATTATAATGTATTAGCCTTTACAAATCATTTGTGCTATGTGTTATGTGTTAACACCATAAGCTGCAGAGCCATCCATCCACGTGTGTCACCTCACATATGGTTAAGACAGTTAGATCTACTGGTTTATTATTTATAATAGATTAAAAAGCACATGCTTCAGTAATGGATGGCACATGATGAAAGATATGGATAAGGTACATATTTGCAGCCAAAAGCACTCAGCTGGGCTCCATCCATTTGTATATATACGTATGGCAAACTGCATCAAATTCATACACACAAGGATACTGTCCATGGAAAATATTAACATGGCCCCTAAAAGTATTTGAGTTGACTAAGAAAGTTTGTTATTCATTCTTTACCTTGGAAGCCACAAGAAAAAACGCAAAGACCAATTACTTAAATTTGAATGGGTATCAGTTGTATTTCACTTTAGCCTAGCACTGCAGTTAAAATAATTTATGTTATTTGTAATAACGGCTGTGAAATACGATATGCAGTATATAATGCAAGCTTTCGCTGGTGGTACACCATGTGGGAAAGGATAGAAGATGGAGGGAGAAAACAGCTGTTGAGATTTGCATCTGCAAAGACATGACACTGCTTTAGAAAAGCTGAGGACAAGGTATGAGCATCGACTAACAACGTGTATTGTTACCAAAATATAAGATGACCGCTATTATAAAACATTTTGGTGTATAATCACATTGTTGATTGATTCATAAAACCTCTTGATGTGTATGTATAATTTCTGCTCCTGTCCAAGTCATCACAAGCCATACAGTCTGTGCCAAACAGGTGCAACATCCACTTGAGAGTGAGGCCAAATGGTTAAGCCATCTTTATTATGAAACAATATTGGGACCACATCAAACAACTGTTACATGGTTGATTTCTGCTGCAATCCTTTCCCATGTCCGAACACATCCTTGGACAGCCAGCCCTCTCCCAGCTGCTTTCAAGGAGCCCGTTTCAAGGACTGCGTAGACGAGTTGAGATCCATTCCATCTTGTGCATCCACCTTATACTCTACAGCTCCGGACCACCCGCTCCCTTTCCCCCCTGGATCAATAAAACATTGATCCATCTAGCTAGGCAGCTGGTTGTCTGCTCGAATATGTCTCAGTGTGATAAAGGGCTCTGTTTCGGATGTGATAAATGATTATACTGGGGTGCCCAAATAGTGGGAAAGGAGACATGCATGGAAGATTCAAATTAACACAACAGATTCTTCCCACATTTCCACCAATTTAATGAATCAAGTGCCAATCAAAACAAGTTTAGTTGGAGGAAGAAAATAATAAAAAAAATTGTAAAAGAAACTCACAGTAGCCATTTGTGATGCAGAAAACAGTTTTAACCGCAGGGTCTGAGTGCAATAGATCTGGGTTGCAAAACACCATCAAAGAACATTGATAAAATGTGTAGATAGTATCGTTCCGCTTGTATTTGAGGGCCTACTGATGATAGCTACATGTTTGGAAAACGATTGTTTTAACTTACACACTCAATTTTCTGTAGCTTTTTTAGCAATAACAATTCAATTACTAAATGGCTTGTTATTGTATGTTTCTGCTCAGTGGGTTACAAACCGTGGGGAGGAAGATGTGAGATGGATTGTTCCACAGAGTACAGTGCAAGTCTAGTAGCAGTTGATGTAAAGGAAACACCTCAGTCAGCACACAGCTCCCAGTCCAAGCTGCAGCTTCTCTTCTTTCAGTCATGTTTGTTTTTTAGTTAGGATTACTGATGAAATGGTAAAAGAAATAGAGTAATCAACCACTTTTCCTGCTCAAAAAAAAAAATACCTCAGAAAACCATGTCTATGTGAGATCTATTTAACACAATAGTTGTTTATATAGAGGAAAAGCCAACAGAAAATGATCAAGTTACTCTGAGTATTTCCATCTAATATTTCATCTGAACATCATGTTCCCTTAGCATTTCTTTTTCCATTTTTCACTTTAAGAAAAGAGTAGAAAGTTAGAAATGGTCTGGATGTTTATGGCTGAGAAGGAGGAGAAAGAGGAGGGGGAGGAAGCTGTCTGATCCACAGAGAGTCCTGGATGGGGAAGGCGGCTTAGGCTGCCGCTGCCTGGCTTCAGCTAGGCGGCTCCTGGGCTGCAGGGAGGTGCAATTTGGGAAAGAAGGGGTAAGGAGAGTGAGCGAAGACGGTGTTGAGTTGTGGGGTGTAGCAGAGAGGCGGGAGCAAGATAGGTATTTGGGCGGGGAGATTAAAGAAAAGGGAGAGAAAGAGAAAGAGAGGGCTCCACGCTCATCAGGTGATCAGTCCATTGGCCGCTTTTCACCATGTTTCTTTGTAAACTCTTCAGCGTTCTTCAAGAATTTTTTACGGTCCTTTGAGTATTCTTCTGCTAGGTCTGCCCTCAGGGGATGCTCCGGCTGGGGGTCGTTCACCAGTGCAATGAGGGACTGAATTACTGTAAGACATAGCCAAAAATAATAATAATTTGACATGAACAATGCATTTCAGGCCTTTTATTTAACTGCTGTGCATTCTAGTAGGAAGTGCATCGTGGCATGTGCAAAGAAAGCAGTAACAAGATTGAAAAGGTCTGAAGAAACACCTCTTTGCTGGTTCAACTTGCCAACTGTTTAAGTTGCCACATCATTGTGTCACCATAAACATCATGGTCTACATCTCTACCCTTCAACTGCATAAATTAAGACACAAACTGGCACCTATTATATATTAAATTAAAAAAAATACATCTATTACTTTAGTCCAACCTGACTCCGATCACGTCTCTCTCTCTCTCTCTTGTGCTGACATGTAGAAGCAGACACACACTGACAGACTGAGCTGATATCTTGATCAACACTTATCAACCCATAATTATCTAAACTATTCTTCAATTAGTAAAATCTTTCCTTATAGCTGCAGGGATTCAATCTTTTATATAGCCCCCCTGACTCTGCTTACTTTCTCTTCCTCTTGACTTCTACTGAGTGTACTGTTTGTTAGTTATCAGGATTATGCAAAAACTACTGGATGGAATACCATGAAACTTGGTGGAAGGGTGTGGTATGGTATAAAAGACCCCATTCAATTCTGGTGCAGATTCAGATCAGGAGGTGGATCCAGGAATTTGTCAAGAAATAATGTAGAGATATTTGTGGGAAAAAATCTGTAGAGTGCTGATGCTATCAAGCAAGTAACATTTGTGAGGATCTGATAAGTTATTAATCATGAGGTGTTTTTCATTCAAATTATGTATTTTTTGAGAGATGTTTGTTCATTTACTGTAAAGTAATAGATAATGGATATTTTGCCGATGTTTAATAAAGCATTAGCAGAAAAACTTGGTCTACATTGTAAGTTGTACAAAATTCTGTATACATTTATTCTTTGCAAGCTTATGTACTTATACTGTGTGTCTGTGTTCAGAGGGCATCACAAACTGAAAACTGCAGGCAGCCTGGGGTAGGAGTCGTGTTGTAAAAGAATAAACTCTACTGCATTGACGTCTAACGATCTCCAGTGAATTTCTTCGACCAAAGATTGAAGACTCCAGATTAAGTGTAGTCTTAGTATCTGGCCCAGTATTCCTTTTTATATCCAACATGTATCCGATTCATAATATCTGCAATGTGCTCTAAGGGCCTGATCTAATAAGATCCCAAATAAAGAGTGCTAAACTGCGTGTGCATTATAACAGATTGCAAGTTTGGTTGTTGGGCGCTTTGCAGGTGATCTGCTAAAAATAGTTGCGTAAATGATAATAGGTGCACTAAACTAACTAAACCAGTGATCTAAAGCCAAAAATCCACTAGAGATGCCTCTGAACAATATTAAGCTGCAGGTACAGTTCACTTTCTCTGTGGCACGAATGCTCAGGCACGACACTCGGGCCATTGTTGCGCACACCAGGCAGCTGGTCAGTGCTGTATCTGGTCTGACGATGGCCATCAGTGACCTGGCAAGAAAGATCAAAGATGGGGTACAGGCAGTGGTGAGGCCTCTCAATACAAGTGGTCCCACAACAGAGCAGCTTGTAAATGGAGAGGGAGGAGGGCGAACCGGGGGAGATGAATGCACTGGAGACTAGCGCAACATGCGTTGCCAGCTAAAAATGTAATGTTGGCAAAAAGAGGTAAATGGGAAGACATGATGAATGTCAATGTTCCTTTTTCCATCTGTATGCAACCCTTATTAAATACAGACACAGTCACCAAAAATGTTTTCAGGCTTTGTAAATCACAATGCATGTGCTAAATTAAAGTTTTTGAATCTATTGCGCACTCGGGTAGAAAGGCCCAATATTGCATAATCATGAAGGTAAACATACTAAATGGACAGCACGTGTTATTCTGCACGCATCCTTAGTTCTAGTGCTCAGTGCTGTAGTGCAGTAGTTCAACATGCATGTTTTTTTTTGCGGGTGAAATGCGCAAAAAAATGCCCTAAGAGTGCCCTTCTTTTTATCTTAGACTAGTGCCCTTTAGGCCGGGGACACGCTGGAGGTGGAGGCGCCACGAAATGCCGTCCACTTCCTTTCGGCGCCAATTTTAATCAATTGTGCTGTTCACACTGGCAGCTATATATAAGACGTTGTTAGTTATTCCCTGATTATTGCCTTCAAGAAAAACTTTAACGTTGGTGGCTCTTTCCCCTTGAGGAGGCTGTGTAGATTTGGCCGTGAGCATATACAGGCAGTGGAAGGTACATGCAAACTCATTCATTTTCTTGTCCTTTGTTGACTGTAACTGAAAAAAGTCAGGTTAACTTCTATATCTCTGCCACACCCACCTAAGAAATCAACAAAGCCAATCCTATTTACTGTAGTTTACCGTGCTCCTGGGGCTTATTCTGATTCTGAACATTTTTAACAGAATTCCCTAGCTTTTGTCAAGCCTAGTACTAAAAACAGATATTACAGTATTAATTATGAAGTAATACAATTATTATTGTCCGTGACTTTAATATTCATGTTGACATTAACAATGATCCCAACTGGCAAATTCTTTAAAAACACTAGTTTTACTGAGATTGATCATCTTGTCAATAGCACTGCAGAGTAATCTGTGTAAACATATGGACACATAATAAAGTGAGATCCATGACAAAGTGTGATCAGGTTGAGAACATTATGGTTACACAACTGTTCCTGGTCTCGCTCTCTCCTCCCCCTCCATCTCTCTCTGAGATAACCATAATGTTCTCAACCTGATTCTTCTCTCCCCTCTTTTCCACCTCTCCTCCCCATTTTTCTGCTCAACCCAACCAGGCAAGGCAGATGGCCGCCCACATTGAGTCTGGTTCTGCTGGAGGTTTCTTCCAGTTCTTTGCTCATTGTGGGAACTGTTGGGTTTCTCTCTCATTTTTAAGGTCTCGACCTTCTATGTAAAGTGCCTTGACCGTACTACCTATACTATATGAGCCTGTCTTAAAAAAAAAAATAATGGGTTAGAAAAATGATGGTGATACATTTGTCATAGCAGAGGGCAGTTTGTTAGGCTACCAGTAGTGTGCAGGCTAATCCTGGGTTAGAGCTTCAACACCATGAAATTACTTACAATGTCATTTATGTTCATTATTTCCATGCACTATAATATTGTAGTTTATTATTTTTAAGTGTTTTCTTGTTCATGCATGATGTTTTTGACAATGGATAAGAAGCCTTCAATTTATAGCATTAGGCTGTATAAAATTTGGATTATTGTAAAGATCAAGGTCATAACTTGTTAACTTTAAAAACATATCTCTCTCTCACCTTGGTCAGTTTTGGTGGCAGGCTTCCAGTTCTCAGCACTGATCACAGGCAAGCACACCTGGCCCTTTTCATCAATGTTGGGGTGATAGATCTTTGTCTTGAATGTGATCTTGGGAGGCTTGAATGGGTATTCGGTGGGGAAAATGATTTCGATCCTGAATGCACCTTTGTCATAAGGGGGGTTGTCCTGAAAATTAGTGAGGGAGGTTAGTAAAGGAAATGTGAGCCTTCAGAAATCAAAGCAATCAAACAAGGATGGCTGCTTACAGGAACAATGAGTCCTTGCCATGACAATAGGTTTGATTCCTCAACTTGAATGTTTCTGAAGTTCTTCATTCCAGACTTGCGAATCTCTTCAAGTTCCTGAAATAAGTAGCAGACATTGTATATTAAACAAATAAAAAAGCAAAGATGGGGGCAATATCCCAAGCAGATGACATACAGATTCAAAAAAAATGTTTTCAGTACATATACATATAGAAAGTTTTCTACTTTTCACTTCACTCCATAACAGGCCCTGTTCAGACCTGGTATTGACAGTCATCATGAGGGATCCAATCATTAGTGGACGGCTCTCAGTTTGTGAAGATCCGACTTCCACACTGTATACGCATATGCACATGTACATCATTTCTGTTCGCAAAGACCAAATTATGTTCCTCCCCAGCAGTACCCCCCTCCCCTTCATTCGACTGCAGTGATTTATATATTTTATATTTATCTTACTATTTAAAGTTATATTGATGCTTTCCACTTTGATTTAAAGGTACAGTGTGTAGATTTTGTAATATCTAGTGGTGAAGTTGCATGTTGCAGCTGAACACCCCTCACCTCACCCTCTCCTTCCAAACATGAAAAAGAAACTGTGGCAGCTTCAGTTGTCATAAAAAATCAAAAGGTGTATAGTTTGCCCAGTCAGAACTAATGTAAAAAACATGGCGGCCTCCAAGAACACCCCCCTCCATGTTAATATAAAGTATTTAAATATAAAGGGCCTTTTCTGGGGTAAAGAACACTAAAATACATACAATTTAGATGAAACGAACTAGTGAGGATTATTCTACATTACATTTATGCCAATAGTTCCCTTTCACCTAAATCTTACACACTGGACCTTTAACATTCATTCGTTAATTTTAGACTTGTGTCCTACAGCCTTAAAATCAGGAAAAACTAATCAAATCGCGGCTTGTTCCATCGAATGTAAATTCTCACGTGAATGTTTTAAGCAGCATGGAATTCTCTTTGAGTTTCGCTTCTCTCTCCTCATTCTCTTCTCACAGCAGACTGCTCACTCCTAGGCCCATCCAGAAAACTCTTCTGCACGCATGCATATTTTAGTATCAGGAGAGGAGGGGAGAGACTCAGAGCATTGAGCGACAGAAAGTGAAGAGTCCCAGCGAGTTGACCAGTGTTCAGAGACGGTGATTGACACTTTATTCATATTCTTTGTGAACGCTGAACCGAAATTAGTTTACAAATGATGAACGTGAGCGGCGTTCACGTGAAGCAGCCGGTCTGTGACCTTGTTGAAGAGCAGTAGAAACAAACAGTGAAAAGACAGTTCCCTCTATGACCAGAAGGCAAGCCCCGACGTTTATATTCGACTCCAAAACGAGGTCATTTACATCGTGTTTTAAACCTGAATGTCCGCTTCCGACGAGGTGCATTCAGGGACCGTCGGAAATACTAACGTCCACTAGCTTAGCCACTTCCTGTGGACTTCAAAACATTTGTATCGCGATATAGCCTAAAATATTGCGATATTTGTTTTAGGCCATATCGCCCAGCCCTGACCTCTAATATTCCTGGATAAGTGGTGGTCTTTCTGCAACATTAAAGTTAAAAGGAACACTGCATTGTGGGATAATCAGCAGGAAGAACTGCAGCTTGTGTTCCTGCTTGTCTCTGTCGCTCTTGACAAACTCAGTGTGCACAAGTGTGCATCTTGTTTGGTGTGTGGCAGGTAAACTTTTTCTATTTGTTTAAAGGCAAGCCTCTCAAAGTCTACAGCCAAACAAACAAAAAATAATACTTTTCAAGTACTGTACGGGTCATAATAACTAATGATTAGTATTGGCGTTTGGACATTCTGGCAGGATGCTCCGGGACAGTTTAAAGCAACAAAGCCTAATGTGCTACTACCCTAATCCTGAATCAGCAGTGGTAACAATTTTGCAGAATTATGATGCATTTGAACACATTTGCATTCAAACAGCTAAAAAGAATGTGACCATGTGTCCCAGACATCTCCAAATGTGTTATGAGGGTTTGGATTTCAAGACAGACTGAGGACACAATTAAGTCCATTCACACCTGTACTTTGCACCTGTGATCACACACTCAGGATGAGGAATGAACAACTTATCAGCAATAATCAACCACTCATTGTAGCAATGTCTCCTGAAGTAGGGCAGTAAATCAACCTATGCCTAGAGAAGCTCACATGACAATGCTGTCAGCTCTGGAGTAAGCATTTCAAGAATGTCTGAGACAAACACAGCAAACAATACAGTGGAGAAATGTACAAACCAATTCATCAAAAGTGTCAGAATACTTTACATTAAAGCCTTCAAAGAAGAATGTTAGCTGCAAAATATGCAAAGCTTATCTCATATGGCACAGCAGCACAACTGGGGTATGAACCTGGAGAGAAGTAATTATTCTTCCTCTTTGCTCAGATTAGCAGATAACAACTTTAAGGGGAATACCACAGTAATGTTGTGCTGCAGTGCAACATACAGTATTGTTTGAAGGCTTTAATGCAGTGCTTCCACATTTTTGATGATTGATGCTTCCCGCCTCAATATGGAGTGAGACAGCAGCAGTGTTCGAGCGACCAACAAGGCGAGGGCCGATAGTGTACACATGGCAGTAAAACAAAGACACAAAACACAAGTTTTGGATTGTTTCACAGCTATTATATTCTTAATCACAAAAACAACCTGCTGGAAGATGAAACATCGCCAGTTGTGTGTGAATACAGACACTAATTCATGTTATGAAGGGCAGCTTGTCTGTGACAGAGACTCTACTGTGAGTGACAGCCACACCTCTGGTGACAGCTCTTTGTCAGAGGAATGTTTAAGAGGCCAAGCCATTTAAACTCTGGTTAACCAAGACTGATTATCCAGAATTAACTCAACAGATATCAAAGTCGTCATTACGACTACTCGCAAATATTGTGAAAAGTAAGAATTTTTAGGCAAGATATCTATAACATCATATTGGCTGTTCAAAACAATATCTTTAATTCTGACTTGGCTTCTCAAAATTTGTCAGCATTTGTAATAACACTGAGTAGTATTCAAAATANTGCTTTAATATAGTTTAAAACTTATTATTAGGCAATAATTGACATGCAAAGTAAAGTTTAAAACTCTTTGGTTACTCACCCTGCCCTGGAGCAGTTGGCTCCTCATCTTTAGATTTGCGTATCTTAAACATCTTGCTAACAGTTTCTCTGTCAATGCAAATGTACAACAAAACACTGTTTAGTGTGCATATGCATCATTTAATGAGTCTTTATTCTGAAAATTGGACGTTTATGCAATAGATGAAATCGCTTCCATGTCAATATAATGGGATTTCAGGGTAATCTTGATAGGATGGAATGTCTTGGCCACTGTTAAAAGTCATATGAATTCCCATCTGTCTGTCTGAATGTCCCACAGATGGTCTGAATCTGCTCTGGCTATCGCTAACCACTGTTTAACTTGTGGTTTAAGGCAGTGTGCTTAAATTAACAACCTGATGCTAATGCATTTGTAAGTAAAGCCTATCCTTGGAGAGCCAGCATAGATGTAATGGGACATGATTTATTAATTATTCCAATAACAAAAAGTGGGTGAAATAATATTTCAGTGTGAGTTTTATTGCGAGATGTCGCTGTTTAAGAGAGTGAAACTCAAATTGCATAAGGATGCATGAGTAAGTAATTCTATCTGTACTATTAATGTAAGAATTCCTGAGATCACAAAATAGTTAACATTCCTGATTGACTGTCCTAGTTTTGCAGGCAGTAGGTCACATACCTCATAAAAGTATCTGTCAAGGCTCAATAACTAGTGTAAACAAAATGTGACATCCATCTTTGTATTAGGTTCAGTTCTCTTTATCCCTCACCTTTCTGAAGGAATTAGTTAATTAATTAGTTAATTTCATGTTGGTGGTTAAAGGTCATAGTTTATAGTTGTCTCATTAAGTCAAAGTTGTAAAGATTCTAAAACATTTTACGACCACTTTCCAAAGTATTGCCAATACGTTGCATTATGTCAATAAAAAAATAATCGACAGATTAATCGATTATCAAAATAGTTTATTAGTTTAATTAGAAACAGTTTGGAATTGGTTCAAAGTAATTAACCAGATTTATGAAGAAATGTGATTTATTGCTTTTTAGTTCTGCCTATTGATTCCTGAATATCTTACTGTACCTTCCTGGAAATGCATGTGTCATCTCCAGCTGCCTTTACAACAATTTTACTTGCAGCTTTTCAAAATCTTTGCTGCACTATCAACTTACATTTTTGTCAGGGTGCAAGTATAGCGGGGATTTAATCTGATTTGATTGTGTTGACCTTGTCTAATGGAAAGTAACAATGTTTCTCGTCAATTTACTAGACTGTGGCAGTCCATCACATTCAATTTATTCCTGCCAAAGTTTCATAATAAACCAAAACTAGAATTCACACCAACCAGTGAAGTTTCTGTGAACATATTTCTCCATATTTTTTTCCAGATTCATATAAGGTCACTGTGACCGATAACCATTGATATGTATACTTCATCTTTGAGTCCAAGTGACAAGTGATCAAAATTTGAAGTCTGTGTTATATCACATTCTAGACGTTAAAATCATGTTTCTGAGGTCACCATGACCTTGACCTTTGAAAACTGAAATCTTATCAGTTAATCAGTGAATCCAAGTGAACATGTGTGTCAAATTTAGAAGAATTCCCTAGAGATGTCCCTGAGATATTACATTCACAATGCAAAACATGTGTTTTTGAGGTCAGAGTGACCTTTCACCACCAAAGTCTAATCAGGTCATCCATGAGTCAAAGTTAATTTTTCCCAGATGTAATTAAATTCCCTACGGGCAGTCCTGATACATCACATTTAGGAGAACGTGGTCACTGTGACCTGGACCTTTGACCTTCAGACACCAAAGGTTAATCAGATCATCTTTGAGTCCAAGTGAACATTTTTACAATATCTGAAGACATTCCCTCAAGTTGAACATAAACATACTTTGTGAGGCCACTGTGACCTTGACCCCTAAAGCTATCGAAAAGAAATCAAGTTCAAATTTGAAGAAATTACATCAAAGCATTATTGAGATATTGCGTTCAAGAGAATGGGACGGATAGACAGTCGGAAAAGATAATGCCTCCACCCACTGGCTGTCGCTGGCACGGAGGTGTAAAAATATTTACACTTTCCATGATAACAAATATACATAATATATAAATGTTGGCATGACAATTGTAGTTTCAGTTTAAGCTGTGTGCGATGTCAGGATGGGCATGTCACTCTCAGGAGGCAAGCAAAAGTAAGCATAACACCAGCCCCATCTATGTGACTTTCATTTGGGTGACTTTGGTTTTGCATGCAGGCAGGACTGGGCTTTATGACCAATCACAATACTTAGCCCCCAACCACAAATGCAATCTTATTCTTTGGACATAGCAAGTGTCTGTTTACGCGAGAATCATGGAAATGTCATGGTATCTGTATCAACTACAAAATTTTTGGTATTGTGACATCCCTACACTATACCCAACACAATACTTATGTTATATTACTCACACACAGAACAGGCTCATTAAAAAGGTGTCTGATGTTTGGTGAAAAATACGTTTTTGAGTTTATTGTGTGGATTCTTCAATGGGATTATATTGTGATAATATGGTTGTGGTGTTTCAATGATAAGTTCTTTAACTGATTTTGACAGGTATGTATTGTGTCATCAATTGGTGAAAATTGGTGTAATGATCAAAACACCACACATAGTGTGTGATTTTTTAAGGATAATTAGCAAAAAAATTAGACTGCATTTTAAATGGGAAAGTCAAATTGTACACAGATGTTAAGAAACAATTGCCCCATTGTCTTGAAAAAATTATCGGAATAATCAAAATAGGTCTAGTTAATAACCGACACATTTTTATGGGTAACAGTGGTTCCATTTTACTTCTACTTTCACATAAAAGCAACTACAATCTGTAAATTGTGATTTAAGTAAACGATCTGTCAAAGGGAAAAGGGAAGCTAATGTAATATACCTATGTAATCTACATTGATCATTTTCGGAAATAAAGGTGCATGGAACAGGAAGCGAGGCACACGATCTTTTAACACAGGTAACCGAATATGTTAGCACATATATCATATGCTATCACCTCTTTTCAAAACAACAGATGTGACAAGTGTGAGATGTGGGTTAACACTATGTTCGAGCGCACCCATGATCTGATAACAGACAAAGCCGGGTGACTGAGTTAGGCTGGCGATCGCTGGCTAGCTAGCTGAAACGCAGCTAAGATCTGAAGCTAGCGAGTTAGCTGATTAGCAAACGCCTTGTGCGGTGGAAACTCGATTGTGATCTCATGTTTGACACACTAGAAAGTCGCTCAGTCGGTTATATAACACTCAGCTTCATGAGCCGGTGTTGTTGGTGGTAAACGAAACACCATTTCGATTGCAGTCTTCCCAGGGTTGACCCTAGATTTGCTGGCCTAATTTGCCGGTGCTTTGCTGCCTAGCGTTAATACTGGGTCGGCTGGGTGGACAGTGGTGACCTCTCGTTTTTAATAAATTTACAACTAAACCTGCTGCCAACTGTTTCTTCGCACAACACAAGGCTAAATGAGTTAAGGCGAAGGACGAATGTGTCCCCTAGCAACAAATGAGTCATTCCACTTCACAAATTGTAGGAAAATAACGGGATCGGGAGATTTACCTTGGCCAGCCTCCTGCTCGCCGCCATCTTGAAACTAGTGCGTGTTCCCAGAATACACAGCGCGGCGAATATGGATTTGGTCCACAGACAGTATATAACAGCATGTACGTTAACTGGGATCTGATAAATAGACATTTCAGGCTAATCAGCACATTTCTATCGTAGAAATGCCCTTAGCTGACAACGACAGTTGACCTGTTTATAACCCAAGATTTCAAGACTGGATGTAAACCAAAATGTTGATGATTTAAGTGTAAGACATAGTGGCATTTTTGTAAAGCTAAAGTTGAGAGGGTCTGGCTTTTATATAAAATATTCAATATTACAATTTAATTGTATATTTGCAGTGCCCATTCACAACTTACATTATTTCAAGACACATGCGGTTTAGATTTTACTCAACAGTTCCTATAATGAGCAGGCACTTGGCAACTGCAGAGAGAGAAAAAAAACCTCCCAGGGGGAAACATCTGGCAGAACTAGAGTCAGGGAGAGAGAAGTGCAAAGTGTATCTTGGGAGTTCCTCCAGCAGTCTAGGGCCTATAGCAGCAAAACTAAGGGGTGGTTCAGGGCTCACCTGAGCAAGCCCAATCTGTATATCATTTATCACCGAAGAATTATTTGAATCTAATCTTAAATGAGAGATGGTGTCTGCCTCCACAACGCAAACTGTGAGCTGGTTATGCAGAGGAGGAGCGTCATAGCTGAAGTCTCTACCTCCAATTCAATGAACCACACGTGAGCCTGAATTTAGGGATTGAAGTTATCTTTTGGAACAATAGGATGTTAAAAGTTCTTAAATATGACTGAGCTTGATCAATAAGGGCTTCATATGTGAGGAGTAGGATTTTGAATTCTGTTTTGAATTGTACAGGTGGTCAATGCAGAGAATCTAAAACAAGTGTAATATGATATCTTCTTCTATTTCCTATCAGTACTGCTACTGCAACATTGTGGATCAACTGGAGGCTTTTCACGGACATACTGGGACATAAAGAATTTCATTAGTCCACTATAGAGATAACAAATGCATGGACTAGTTTCATGACATTGCACTGGTGGAAGAAGGCAGTCCTAAAGACTTTTTTGTCCTGGTCCAATGTAAATCCAAGGTTCCTCAATAGGGCTGGGGGTGAGGCTTTTGCCATTCAAGATACATTCAAGATGGCCAAGTACAATGACTTCAGTTCTATCTGAATTTCATCATCCAGTCATCAAGTTTAACTACCTGTTTAGTTTTATCTAGCTTCACAAATAAATACAGCTGGGTGGCATCTGCATAACAATCGAAATGTGTATAGTGCTCTCAGATAATATTGCCTCAGGTAAGCATATATAAAGTGAAGAATATCAATCCCAGTTCAGAACCTTGTGGAAGTCCAACTCTACTCTGTCCTCTGTGGTAGACCGCAACCTCTATGGGTCTGAGCGTTGGGGCCTGTTCTTGTGCTGCCATATATACTAAACTGAAATCAGGTTAACGACACACAGGTGAAACATATTAGGGAGGGCCAGGTAATCGGTGAGACGCACAAGGGCAGGAGTGAAGTTACCTAAAAGAAACAGAGACAAACGTGGGTATCAAAGTAAAACAGGAAGTGACATAAAACATGAAACAGGAAATAGTGAGAGTGTGTGTGTAACCATGACAGGGAGAGAGTGGAGTCCAACTACTGCAGCTCTGACCCCAGACACAAATCCCCTGGGCTGGATGGTATCCCAGGCCATGCACTCAGGGTGTGCACTGATCAACTGGCAGAGATGTTCACCAAGATCTGCAACCTCTCCCTGAGTCAGTTTGTGGTCCCCGACCCCTTCAAGGTATCCGTCAGTGTTACAGTCCCCTAGAAACCAATGCCTCCTGCTTGAATGACTACTGCCCTGTTGCACTGACATCAGTCATCATAAAGTACTTCTTGTGACTAGCTAAAAACCACTATCAGCTCCCCCCTTCCTCACACCTTTGAACCTCTTAAGTTTGCCTACAGACCACACAGGTCTTCAGGTTGAAGCTTCACTCACCTGGACAAAGGGAATACATATGTGAGAATGCTCTTTGCTGATTACAGCTCACCATTCAACAACATTATATATGACTTCTTGACAGGCCGGCCCCAGGTGGTTAGAATCGGAAGTCACAATCTCCTCTCACAATCAGAATCAGGTTTATTGCCAAGTACGTTTACACATATGTCGAATTAGCTGTGGTGTGCCTCTGCAATT